AAGATAATAAACACAATAATTAATAATAAATGATTAATAATATTCCGGAAAGTTCCATGATATTCCGGGAGGTTCCGAGGTGTTCCACAAGGTTTCAAGAAGTTCTGGGATGTTCCATAGTATTCTGGGGTATTCCAGAATGTCCCAGGGGTTTCTGGTCACACAGCATGTGGTGCAGTAAAAGCGGAAAAATTGTTACATACCACTACAGTATTTCAACCATTCAGTTTAGCCAAGACTTATTAGGATTTAGTCAGTAAGATATCATTGGTGGAATGAGGGTACACCAGTACATCAAATTTGCCTGGGAATCAGAACCAGCCTCACCCTTCCTAATCTGATCTAGCAACACATACGGGGATTACAATTTATGGGGCATGCAGTCAACCGTCACAAGTGTACCCCTTAGGATAGAACATTCTGTAATACAAGCGACCTCTTGCAATCCCAACTGGATTCTTACTACTAACAGACATATGAAACTCTTACTGATAGTTGTGCGACTAATGGTTTTAGCCGTCTATACCTTTCTTTCCACTATTGGAAAGATCCTATGAAACTTCTTTCCCCTTTTGAAGGTAAGAAATACAATAGAATTTATATATCATTAATCTATTTTTATAAATTATAAATTTGATATTAGAATATTGAAACTTTTGTATAAGATATTTTTGGATAAATAATAGCTCTTATAAAATTTTTAAAAATTTTAATTATTACAATAAAAATTAACATATGGGTCAAAATTAAAAGAAAGTTTTTTTGTGAATTTTTTTTAAGTCAAAAATTTAATAAAAGTTAAAATAATTTAATAATTAATAAGATCAAATTTTTTTAAAAAATTATATGATAAAGTTTGAACCTTTATATATTAGTGATAAAAAATTTAACATATTTTAATAAGACAGTTGTTAAGAAAAGAAATCTCAAAGTTTAACTTTTTAGTTTTAAAAAAAACTTATTTGAAAATTGTGACTTTTATTAATTTTACTATATAATTAATTTTTTTTTTATAAATTATATAATAAAATTAATAGAAGTCACAGTTTTCAGATAAGCTTTTTTTAAAGCTAAAAAGTTAAACTTTAAGATTTTTTTTCTTAACAACTGTCTTATTAAAATATGTCAAATTTTTTATCACTAATATAAAAAGGTCCAAACTTTATCATATAATTTTTTAAAAAATTTTGATCTTATTAATTATTAAATTATTTTAATTTTTATTAAATTTTTAACTTAAAAAAAACCTGCAAAAAAACTTTCTTTATTCTATAGGTTAGATTACAAAATACTAGTTTAATTTAAAATAAAAGCAATTAAATAAAACTTATATAATATCTGAATCATAACCTGTTATGTGCTATTTTTTATGTGAAGTCATTTTATATACTAATCCAATAAGCATTGGGATTGTGATTTTTAGAAAAGATGTTATGGTATAATAATTATTTAGGTGGTATTACAATAATAGCTAGAAGTATTTCAACGATAATTAAATTCCTAGCTTGAGTTATTTTGATTTAATACAAAACTTAAATAGGTAACACCAGCTGCAGGTAATAAGAAATACAATAGTTTATACTTTGATAATATAGAGAAAAATATAAGATTTAGACAATAAGATGTAAGAGCACTTGGATTAACCTATACATGTTGCTAAAATTTATAGATTCTTGATACAATTAATTAACTCACTATTAAAATATATAAATAATTATGTCATGACACAATTATTTTTAAGAATTTTGGGAATTGAGTTAACAGAAAATAATTTATGTCACATATATAGATCAACCTCCTTAATTAAGATTTTTTCTTCAAACTAATTTATAGAAATAGATTGTAAGTAGTTTAAACTAGTAACAAGAGATCTATCCCCTGTTGGATTGCCTCTAAATATAACGAAAGTGATATATCAAGTATTGAATCTTAAATATTTGAAAGTAGATATATGTATGGAATAATTTGTATAAAGTAATATATAATTATTGATTTGTATAAATCTTTAAAAAACATCTATATAACAATTTCTATTATATAATATAGTTTAATATTTACTAATAAAAGAAGCACTTCAATTGTATTTGACCTATCTAAAAAAAAAAAATAATATTTTAAACTTTTTTTAATATATAAAATATTAATTGATTTTTTTGATTTTTTTATAGATATTCTTAATTATTGTTTTATATTTTGTATTATATTATATTATATATATAATCATTTTAATTTAAAAACTTATTGATTTTGAATAAAAAAACATATTTAAATAAATTATTTATATATAAAAGCAAATATCTTTTTAAATAATTTATTAAAATAATTAAAAAAAATTTTTTATATAAAATGTATTTAAATATACTTAATACAGTTCGTAATAAACAAGGTGTATGCCAATCATTTTAATAAAAAAATCTTATCAGATCCAATAATAAATTAGATTGAAATGTTATAAAGTAAAAAATTGAAAATAAGTTTATTTATTTTATTGATAATGGTTTGTTAACCATCCATTTTGAGTGTACATCTCGTGTAACCGAAATTAATCCAAAAATATATATGGTGTAGATTCTACTTCCAAATATTTAGTTTTTTCATTGTTGAATATAAAAGTGAATTACAAGTTTGAGTTTTCAAGAATTACGTATGCATAAAAAAGGGCATTGTGATCGTTCTTTCTCATCAGCGAATCACAATACAAAAGATCAGGGTTCATCGAATTCTTATAGACAATCGCATTTTACCGGTGAAGGACCACCATGGGATAATTACACGACTCAAGGTATTTTAATAAAACGCATTGGCACCATACATCGTTTTTAACAATAAATCGTATTTTGATGTGTCACAGATCTCGAAGTACTCTCCGATATCATCACCCTCGCTACTTATACTTCTCGCATTTCGTCAGACGCTCCATTTTCCTTTTTACATATATTTCGAGCATATGATGTCGTACTTAAAACCAGAAAAATCGATCAAAGTATAGATGCTGTTTATTATCGTTTTTTGCTGAGATTGGTTTCGTTACCCGGCGATGATTGGAGTGAAAAATTTGAAAATTTTATTAGAGTAAGCAAACCTATAAGGTTTATTTCTATTCCACATCAGGTTCTTTAAATATTATTGTATATTTCTGTTCCACAAGAGCCTTGGATTGTCGGTCGAGAACGAAGCAAATAGTTGGATGTTTCTCGGACGCGATATCGCGGTCGATGACTATGAACCATCCGAAGACGGTAGCAGCATAGAAAGTGTCTCCACAGAATTTGAATCGAAGCTAAATGTGTCCGATTTCTCTCTCCCAGTGACACCAACGGAATCCTCGATAAAGGTAAATGAAGTAATTTCCTTATTTTAAATAATCTTTCTTTGACTTTTAGGTTAGGCCAATATAATGAATGTATTTTATTTCATAGAGTCACGTATCAGTGACAAGCGAGGATAATCATAATTGGGTGCCAATGGATTACAACTTTCAGCCTGTTTTCGTGCAGGATGTAAGCGACGAGATGCAACCGATGAAAGATGACAATTCATTGTTTTTTGGTTTCAAAAATTCGGATCACACCCCAGAGGTAAGGAGTGTATATAACGAAGCTTAATTAGTTATAATGGCTTAAATAATTTTGATTTCTTATTACCAGACCCCAGTCTTCAAATTCGCGCCTTCATCGAGAGCCACACAGACAAAGGTATTTTTAATAGATGCAAAAAATATGTCACATTCTGATAAAAATATTCAAGATTGTTTTATTAGATCCTAGGTCCTGTTAATGAACCCGATGGATTTGAAAACCTACGCATAACACATTTTGGGAGGTTAAGGGAGGACATTGTATTCGAAGAAGCTGAAAAACAAGAACAGGAGCTTGATGCTTATTATTCAGCTGTCTCAGACGACAACAGTAGTTTTAATTTTGGGAAGTCGCGTCGATCAATAACAATAAAGGAGCCACCGAAACAAAAGGATAGTCTTGAAAATCACACGCCAACAGATGAACATAAGATGGAATCAAATTTTTTCGAAAGAACCGTGGCGCTACAAGAAAAAGGAGAATGTAGTTATCAATTAGGTAGCATTGTAAATAATAAACTACCAGAAAAGAATACAGTAAATACATTAATACCAATAGAGTTAGAAAAAAACATTAGACATTCGGGTGTTATATCAGAAACGATATCATACTTAGATGTGAAGGGAGAGGTTGAACAGCAAAGTCTGATAAATAAGGGTATCACAGTGATAAAACCATCAGATGTAACTAAAGGTCATCAGGAATTGGACACAGGTGATGTAATATCGAGGATTAATTCATCGAATGTAGGAGGAAATATTTTAGGGAGCAGATCATTGCGCGAACCTTTGGTTCCTCCAATCATGCGGGATGAAGTGGAAAGTGTAAATATGTCAATACACGAAGACATTTCGGAATCTAAATTATCTGTGACACCCTTTGATTTGAAATATACAGATGTTACTGATAATGTATTAAAAAGGACACTGGATGGTCAAAAATTCGAGGAAACACACGGACATTCAATTTCATTAATATTGGAACCATTATTACCTAATAAACCTTTTATAAGTCAAGATTTGAAGGAAGATATTGAAATTGCGATAGATAGTGAGTCGGACAGCACGGAAAAAGATAAATTAATGAAAGATGATATTTATAAAAGGACGATGGGATTACAAAAACCTAGGGATAGCGGAATAAAATGGTCACAAGAACGCGAAGATATGGAACAAGTTCGAGTGATCTTTGAAGAATGGCTAAGGTACATTTTGTTTATGAGAGTTCCTGTTGGTCTCCAGCCCGGTATTAATATTTTTTACTCCAACAAATAGATATACGGACGAAATAAGGCAATGTCGTGCGCAAGGGATTCGTCAATGGAGAATAGCTGCATATATATATCAAAATAATCTATTAAAAAACTATTTTCAGCGGTGGAAAAATGCTTATCTAAGAAAATTGGTATTTTATTTCTCAGCTTTGAAACGCGTTTATTACTTGTCGATCCTTTGTAATTGATTATTTACTATTCTAGGCGACGCGGGATCTTTTGAATTCCAAATGTGACATGTTGATAAAAAGTAAATATCTAGTGAAATGGCGTGAACGAAAGCACGGTATTGCATATTATTGTATCAATTTCAGTTCACTTTGATGAAAATTCTAATTTTCATATTTTAGCATCCGAACACGAAGATCGCGCAATGAATTTCGAAAAGGTGTATAATTCGAGAAAATACTTTTCTCGCTGGATATCCCGGTTAGCAAATAGACTTGTAAAGGTTTTGCTTCAGTGTCTTAATATAACTTAATATAACTTAATAAAATTCTAATACTAATCCTAGCATGCGAAGTAACAGAGAACTTTTTGAGACGGCAAAACGACATGATATCTCATCCCGCAAGAAGATATTACGCAAGAAATTTGAAGATTGGAGAACAAATGCAGAATCTAAATCGAAAAATAAAGCTATTTTAGCGGAAACTTATAAGATTTGGAGGACAAAATTTGTATATAATCTTCTTACCAGTGCCAATAACTATATTTTGCTGCAGAAATACTTCGTCATTTGGAGAATATCCTTTATGTTAAAAATAATGTGATTTTCTTCTTAAAAACCTATTAACTATCTACCCTTGACTTGCAAATACGACAAATATTATGACAAACTCATTTCGAGTTCACAAAAGCAAAGTGTATTTGATGCTACGACTGATGAAGAATTTTTATTCAGTGCTTTCAATAAGTGGAGAGACCGCTATAATAATTACATCTCTTTAGGTGAGGTGGCCGAAGTGAGTTAAAATTTTCTTCTTATTTAATTTGAATTCTTCGATATTATATTTATCATGATTCTCGTTATTCCATTTGAGGATGGTTATAACACCAAGCTGATGGGTGCTGCATTTCTTCACTGGAAAATGGCAACACAAAGAAAAAGGGCCATGTTAAAGACCGCTGAAAATGTTTTCTTAAATCGATACTTTCTCGAGTGGTACAGCCGGTATGTTGGGGTTTCTATTGAGTGTCTTTGTTTAAGTCATTTCTATATTACCTATATTATCTGATGTTGAATTTGGTGTTTCACTAGTTTCATACAGAGATTTATGAAAAAGAAGAAACAAAAAGAATTAATGGAAAAAATTTTTATAGGTAATTAATTTTTTAATAACCGCTCTACCCTGACCATGTTATCAACTAAGGTATGATTGATACTTTTTAGAGTGGCATGACTGGACGGAAAAAGTTTGTATGGAACGCCAATATAACCAAAATGAGCAAAATTCAGCAATTACTGGATCATTAGAAGAAGAAACCGATTGCTCTATGTCCAATAAATTATTAATTAATTCATCCGACGCTATAGTGACTTTGTAGCTAAACACTTGCTATATACGATATAAAGGATGATTTATGGAAAGTAGAGTTGGACGTTTCTCTCACACAATGGAGTCAGCTTGTCCAAGGAAATATAAAGCTTTTAAAATATTAAATATGCGAATTAAATAAAGATGTAAAATATTTCTACAATAATTAAGTGTCAGTTGAATTGCATCTTTTTTTTTTGCATAACTACATACAAATCATCTTTAAGTATACCTTTTGATTTGAAACAATTGACACAATAATGTAAATACTGTATATCATTTTGATTAATATATACTGTAAATATCTTATATTACGTATATACAATTTCAATTTGTCAAATTATTAATTTTATAATTTAACTTGATTAAGCTAAAATTTATTTACAGTCTATCAATTTTTATTTATTTCAAACTATTTTTATTTAATTAATTTTATTGGATTTAAGCTAATTCCATTAAAATTTGTTTAACTTATTAAATTTATTTATTAAACTTAAGATTATATATAAATCATTTTATCATAGTTCTATTAATTTTATTAAATACAAATCATTTTTTAATTCTTTTTTTTTAATACGTATTTATTTTTTAAATACAATATATTTTTGTAATTGATTTTAAAAATCTATTGTAAAAAAAATTTTGTTATATAATAATTTTAAATATATTGTATCTTAATTACAAAAATAAATTATTTTGTTAATATTAATATAGAAATAAAATATAAATTTAATTTAATTAATTAATTAATTAACAATAATAAAAAGAATTTTTTTTACAATATTATATAAAAAAAATTTTAATTAACTTTGTTTATAAAATATAATAAATTTTTGTTTTTATGTTTTCTATTCTTTTTATACTTATTATATTTTTTGTTTTTTTATATATATCTAATAATTTTGATATTATTATTATTTTTTTTTAGTAGGTAAACATCATTTCTTTATTTGATTAATAATTTTGATATTATATAATCAAAAATATATATATATTTATTTATTTATTTATTACTATTTCTATATCTAATATAATTAAAAAATTTAAAATTAAATTAAATCACATAAGCTTTTTTTAAAAATTTAAAAATAAACATATTTAAAATAAATATATATATATAATTTATTTTGTTAATGTCTTGATTAATCTAAAAAAGAAATATAACAAAAATATTAAATTTTATATTTAATTTTATATTTATTTATTGAAAAAATATATAAATTACAAATATTGTATATTTTTATAAAATATAAATAATAATATATTGAAATTTTTTAAAAAAACTTTTTCTTACAACATTCCAATTTATAAAAAATTTTCTTTTTTGATAATTACATAAATAATGAATAGTAAACAATTAACAAGAATTTTTTATTAAAATAGAAATTTATTTTTACTTATTACAAAATATAAGTAATTAATTAACTCTTTATAGAAAAATAAATTTTTTAAAAAAAGCAAATACCTCTTTGAACAAATTCTTTGTATTATTAAGTAATTTTATATAAGTAATTTTCAAAATTAAAGAAAATATTTTTATCTATTTTTATATAAAATATACTTAAAATACTATATCAATATTCTTTTCTTTCAAATATAATATATATGTTAAGAAATAATATTTTATTTTTTCAAAGTTTTTGTTTTTTGTTTAGTTTTTAATAATTTCCATCTTACCTTATATATATTAAAATCTTCTTTTACTTTTATAAAAAAATCTATAATATACAAAACAATAATTTTTTTTTTTTTTTTTTTGTAGGTAAACATCATTTCTTTATTTGATTTGTATATAGCATGATATACATCATGAAAGAAACAACATCTCTTATGTATTAGTACAATGAGTTAAATGCTAACTTGTCTACAGTAACCATACGACTAATATTGAAATGAAAGTTTAAAACAATATATCTTGTCAGATGGCACCAAGCAGTTATAAATACCTATTCAGCATTAGGGGAAATCGAGTTAATATTAGCAGATAGAGTTGTTAAGCTATAAATACATTTGGAGTAGTTATATTTAGATTGGATAAATGAATTAGTAACAGTATAAGGTAGGTCAATGATAATGTTTTCTTGTGGGTTGTTGGAGTTGTCTTTGGTTTGCGAGGTTTTTTTGGTTCTGGATTGGTGGAGTTGATTGAATTATGTGACTTAGTATGGTTCCACTTGATTACAATAAGAGATAAAGTGTTGGCTGTGAAACAATGTGGTTTCCAAATTAGATCATGTAACAGGATTAAAAATTCTATTGCTGCCTTGATTCAGTTAGTAGAGGTTGAGGTGGAGAAGATTTTGTCTATGATTCCACATGACAATTCGACAGCTTGCCATATATGAGAGATTGGTTATACAAAACAATAATTATATTTTATATTATCTAGTTATATATATATATATTTTATTCAACTAGTGAGGTCTTGCCCAATATACTTTATTTAGTTTACATATGTACTTCTTGTTATAAGACTTACTATCTATAAACTATTCTAGATACATGTTTTGCTATATTGATTTGATTTCATATCAGCTTATTGCTATTAACTTACCTTACAGCATGTGTTAAGGCTTCGTTAGTATGTTATTATATAAAAAATAATAGAAATTGAAATTAATTATATTTTTTTTCTGGTCTAACCAATTCTCTATAAGTTTTTCTTATAATCTTCTTGCTTTTTCTGTTCTTTCGAATGAAGATCCATGCTGCCTTGTATCTGTAGCTTGAGTATCAACTTGGAGTCTTTGTTTTTTTTTCATTTTTTCCTTTCTGCTTATGTTTTTTTTTTTTTCCATTACTGAAAACTTTTGCATCTGTGAATTCAGAGTTTTTGGAATTCCTCTGTCATTCTATTTGTAACTGTTCTTAGTATGTCTTTTTGATTTTTTTATGTTAATTTGTCTTACAAGCTCAGTTATCATTTCACTTAGGCATTAATTTTTTATATTTTTCCATTTCTTATAAAAACTTTTGACGAAACGCTATAACGTCATCTCTTTCATAATCATTTATATACATACCTTTTTGATACTGTTTATAATAAAATCTTATTTTTCTTAACCAACGTTGTGCTGTGCTCAAAAAAATTGTTTGTGCTTGATTAATATAAAGTTCGAGAAGAATTTGGTTCTCAAAGAATTGTTTGATAAGCTGAGGATTTACTTGAAATTTTGTTGCTCATAAATAGTTCGCAATCCTTATAGAGACATATTCATTATAAAGAAGTGATTTTGATGAATATTTTCCACATTGAGACAGAGGTAAAAGTTTATTTTCTAAGCATGTTTTTGTTCATGCTCATATACATTTAGCACAATACTCACCACCATTATAAATCTTTGCCACTATTCTACTTGCTTCGATTTTAGGCATATTATGCTGAAGAAGTTGTATATAATAGATAACAGAAGTGTATTTTACCTTATCAGATTTTAATATCTTTGCTTTATCAATTATACATTGTACTCTTTGAGTTGTTTCCTGAAGTCTTTGTTTCCATTGTAATGATCCTTCGGTAAGATTACTTTCACTTTCATAATCTAACTGCTGATCGTCTTCCTGGTTATTTGTCTTACTATCCTCCTGACTACCTGCCTTACCATCCTCCTAACTATTCACCTTACTATCCTTTTGACTATCTGCCCTATTATCTTTCTGATTATCCATCTTGTTATTCTCTTGACCATCCACTTGATTAAAAAATTGTGATATTTTATGAGATCCTATAGTAGCTATTTTGAGTTCTCTCAATTTTTGTTATCTTGTTTGAATAGAGTTTCCAGTATATCTCCAACGTGGGTTATTTTGAATCAGTTTTTTATACACTAACTTTGCGACTTCCTCCTTTTCTAGATCATACTCATTATTATTGTTTATAGGCATGTCATTATTATTGTCTAATATATCATCATTACTTTTCGATACATCTTTATTACTATCACTAGGTTTTTTGCGTTTTCTTGCTCGCTCTGCATTGGCACGGCATATAAATATGTTCTTTTTAAGACGACCCATAGTTATCGATGCCACTATACAAATAAAAAATAATTTAATATACCTTCTTATAAATAAAAATACAGTTATTAGGTTTTTTTACCATATCACAATGTTACAATTCTCGAGAAGAAGGCATTATAACTAAACTTGCAAAAATCTTCACATAGATCACTAAATTTCTATTGGTTAATTTTATCACATGACTGGTGCCAATTTTTTAAAATATATATATATAAATAATTTAATTTAATTTAATATAATAAAATATTTACTTTATTAATATAAAATATTTTTTATAAAAAATATAAATTAATTAATAAATAATGTTTTTTATAAAAAAAAAATTAAATTAATATTAAATTTAATATGAAATTTCAATTTTTATAAAATATATTTTAATTTATGGCTTTTGCTGACTTCCACTATATTTAAAAAAAATATATACATACTAATAATTTATTTATAGTTTAAACTACAGTCGAACCTCATTATATCAAACTTCATTATACCGAAGGACTAAGTAAAAACTTACTATATCAAAGGTAAGTATAAAAATATTTATAGCACATTTAATCCATTATATCGGATTTACTAATTGAACCTTGTTATACTGAATTTCTTGAAATTTTTGCCTTATGGTCCTGATCTATTTGTTATAACAAGGTTTGACTGTATATAATAATTATTAATATAAGTAATATTTGAATAAAATATAAAAAATTAAATTATTTTTTTTATTTTTTGTAAAAAATTTTTAAAAAATATTGTTACTATAATTATTATAATTTTTATAACATTTGACAGATATTAATATACAGTATATTATCTCTATTTATCCCTATTTATCATTTTTTATTATATTTTTTATATAGTATCTTAATATTTTTCTCAAAAATTCTCAAAACACCTATGTAATTTTAAACAGTATTGCAAATTCAGAACACTGTAGTTTAAAATCCTAGTTATAAAACTCTTTTTCTGTTCTAAATAACTATTTGCAAAAAGACTAGATAAATAACTTTTATTAAGGTTCCAAAAGCAATTAAGATGGTAATTTCTTGATTAATTTAGAATTTTCTGTTATAGGCAGAAATTTTCTTTGATGATGATAAATCATAATCTTAATACTAAAAGAAATATTTATACTGTATATAAATGTATATATGTATATTCTGTTTAAATACATAAAAGTTTATTGGTTCCAACAATATGCATTTATACAAGTGTCACTGTATTTATTTAAGATAATACTATAACTTATCGATTATTAATAATATTCAACTCTTATTGGAATTGCTCTAAATAAAGACATTTACTATAGCTTGTTTTTAATTTGTATCAGATATAAAAACTAATATATATATTGAACAAAGAAATTTCTTTGTTTGGTCAGTAGTGTATATTTTATTAATAATTAAGTTTTTATTTTTATTGAAGAAAAATTAAAGAAAAGTTGAAAAAGGACATTAGAAGTAATATCTATAATAAATAAAATTATATAATTCCTACTTGCTTTATCAGGAATAAATTCTTTTATCATCAATACGGTTCTGAAAATTGAAATTGAACAGAATTGCAAAGAATTGTATAAGGTTCAAAACATTATTAAAAATGATAGTGAGATATATCCCACCTATTAAATTTAATATAAACTTGAGAATCGAATATAGAATTGAAGAGAATTATTAGAATTCTTAATTATTACTTGCAGTTAGACTAATTTTTTAATTTTTTACCTATTCAAATAATATCCAAAAACATTTAAGATAGACTTATAACTGGTTCTTATTGTCTAAACAGCAACTTATATAACTTTATATAGAGCAGATTTTATTGCCAAATGCCTTCTTGAAATAAGTACTATTAAATCAGTTTATTACTAAATTGGAATAAGACTAGAACAAGAATCTTTATAAAAGATATCAAATATTAGAGAAGCAATTATCAAATTTACTTGTCAAAAGCAGACACCTTATATATTTTGCAACTCCTAACAATTATTATAACATCAACTGAATAATTATTATACCATAATATCTTTTCTAGAAATCAGAATTAAAATCTCTATCGAATTAGCATATGAAATAGCTTTTTATAAGAAACAGCACTTTTATAGATTATGGCATTGGATATTATATTAATTTTATTCAATTGTCCTCATATAGGATTGAATTAATATCTTGTAATTTGATCTGTAGAGTACTAATCATTGTGTTATAAATTTATAGATCTTTAATCTTCTTAATTATTTTCATTTAATATACAGGGTGGCACAAAATTTTTTGTAAAATTTTTTTTAAAAATTAAAAATTATATTATTATTTAATAAATATTAATTTAAAAAATATATATAAATTAAATATAAATCTTTTGGTATTAATAAACAATCTTAATTAAGATATTTTTTATATTAATTAATAATATTATTTAAATATTATATTTTTATTTTTTAATATCATATTTCAAAAAATATTTTTTTTTATATTATTTATCATGAAAAAAACATATAAAAACATATATATAAACTTTAATTTTACAAAAATCAAGTTATAAAATTAATATATATATATAATTTTTAATTAAAAATAATTATTTAAAAAAATAATACCAATATAATTTATAAACTAGTTATAAATAAAAATAATTTTATAATATTTATAGTATTTATATTTAAATTAAATATATTAAAAAAAATTGCAAAAAATTTTGTGCCACCCTGTATAATATTATACATATGAATTTATTTTATATAAAAACTTATTTAATTTCAAAAATCAAAATTGATTCTATTTTTTCAAATAATTAATAAATATATAATAACTAATTATATATTAACAATTCAATATAATAACAATAAAACTAGTGTAAACAAAAAAAAAAAACTCTTTCCGTTTCATCCCAGATCACCTAAAATCTGCAGTAAAATGGTAAAGAGGACATCCAAAGGCAGTATACAGCCATGAAAACCTGTAACAGCAATACCAGGAGTAAGGGTCCAGCCCTACTTAACATCTGATCACAATAGACAGCCAAAACAACGCAAAAAAACAAAACCTAAACAGGCCCCAGAATGGTCAGTAGCAGAGGGCAGTACCTCAGCTAGCTGGCTATCCACAGCCAAAGATGGAGTAGATGTCATCTATAAATGGGCGAAAGACACTTATATAGAGACAGAAGAATTCCAATGGGCACCTGCCTCACCCACTCTGGTTATCTTCAGGAAGTCAGATGAAGACCCAACGCCTACTGAGCCAGATAGCGAAGTGAAGGAAGAAGAAATGGCTGAATCCAAGTCACCCAAACCACCCAGACAGCTGTACAGACCTCCAATAGACTGGTGCATCCAGTACGGCCGCACATACTTCAAAGTGACCATTTAGACAGCCAATCTCAATGGTACAATGAAACAAAAACTTAATGCAGTAAAGCAGGCAGTTGCCTATTTTGACTCCTACATGGGAGCCCAGGTGGCGCAGCACCAGGGGGAAAAAATAATTGTTGCCTTCTTTGCTAATAAAAAAGATTTACACAAAGCATGCAAATTAATCCTACAAGAAAATAATGAAAACTATATAACAGAATGGGCTGAGATCGACCTGATGGAAGCCAAAAGCAGAACTATCTGTATCTGGGACATCCTTCTAAACACCAACCAACAAGAAGTAAGGCAAAAAATTGCCGAATACAGGAAAATTAAAAATTTCAGAATAAATACAATAGGCATGTGGCAAAGCGCATTAGCTGAATTTAAAACAGAAGAGGAGTACAAGAAAATTAGCACAAGATGGAACATTCCAATCAAAGGAAAATTACTCAGAATCTATCTATTTATTAGAACCTTTAAAATTAAAGAGGCATGAGACAGATATATCTTAAAGCTTACAAACTTTCCACTAAGCATTACAGGATATGACATACGGGACATAATCGAATCCATTAAGGCAGCATTATGCCACATTCCTCACAACAGGAACTATACAAGAAAAAGATTTGCTTTCTTAAACTTTATCTCAGCAGAAGCAAAATAGAAAGCAAAAAATACAGAAACACAATTGGGAGAAACAACACTCTTCTGGCATAAAACCGATACAAAGTTATATATCATTTGTAGTGCATCAGACCACCTAGCAAAAGATTGTAAAATCAAAGCAAAACAGTAAGAAAGGCAACAAACACTTGGGAAAAAAGCAAAAAGATATAATAGTTTATATTAAAAATATAAACCGGAGGATACAAATCAAATTAGAAGAGTTCAAAACAAACAAATTAACAAATCAACAAATAATGACCGAATCAGGGCTCAAGAACAATTCAGCAGAGCAACAAGTTGATTTCAAAGCAGAGAAACATTTGCCCAAGTCACAAGCAATACAACAAGAGGAGTCAACAAACTTACAGCAGGTAATCCAGCAGCAATGATCAACCTACAATCATCACTAACAGAAGTACTTAAAATAGTACAAGCAATAGAATTAGAGCTTAAACATATCAAATAATCCATAGGTAATCTCAATCAGAGAATTGGATACTTGGAAGACTTCACTTACTTCTACACTGTAGATGACGAAGACCAGATGGAAGGAGCAATTAAAGATGAAAAAATATACTTGGAGGAGAACCACCCCCAGCCAACTACTCTCAAATCCAGAGAATTTAACTACCAGAGGAAAAGACCAGCAGCAGATATAAGCGACATCAGGGCCCAACAATGCAATCTTAACTCTAGAATGACAAACATAGATAATACATTCCAAACAGTGGTAGTTACACTTAACCAACTGATAGATAGCACAACAAACAATGCACCACAAATCCAAGATAATAAAGAATAACAATAAAGAACAAACCAGGCAAATCACCTTAATAAACTTATTAACAACAATAGAAATTCAACCAACTGGAACAACAAATTTAACAAACAATGTCATATAACAACCACCTATAAAACACAACACAAAGCAGACAGAAAACATCACAAGTCTAACAGAAACAGTGAACCATTAAACATAGGACATTACCTGGAGAATCATCA